CTGCTGCTGCTGCTGCTGCTGCTGCTTCTTTCAGCTTCAGCTGTCCGATGCCTAAACTGTCTCAATCTGTTGCCTTTCTCTGGTCTGAACTGACAATTGTTTAGCTAAAAGTTTATTTTTAAAACTAATTTGTCTCCACCACAATTCACGTTTCGCTTCACTTCAGGTGTTTCGGGAAGAAGTCGGCTGCGAAGCCTCCGGAAAAGAAGGTGAGGGAGAACCCTACGGCCCTACGGTGTACGTACACCTCACGACTGGCCTCGCGAGACGCCTCTGTCTTTCATTTTGCATTTTTACTTTTCAGGATGAGGCCCCCGAGAAGCCGGAGAGTCCCGTTAAAGTGCGTGAGGGGCCCCCAGCCCTTTGGCGCGGCCATACCAGAAAAGAGCCTTAGCCTGGCCCCTAGCCCGAGGCCCCTGTGCAAGGCTTATTGTCCTTTTCTCTGTCTCGTGTTGTGCTGCTGAACAGTCTCCCGCAGAAGACGCAGGAAAAGAGGCGGAGCAGCCAGCAGAAGCCGAAGCCCCACAAGACCCAGAGGAAGAGGGGGCCCCGGGGGCCCCCCAGGACGTGGAGGAGGAGGCCCCCGCAGACCTGGAGGAAGAGGCCCCTCAGGACCTGGAGACGCTTCGGCGGGAAGTGTCGGAGCTGAAGAGGGAAAGAGAAGAACTGCAGCAAAAAGTTGAAGAGGCCGAACGCAAAGCAGCAGAACTTGAAGACCAGCTGCGCCGCCTGCCCAGCCAAACCCGGCAGCAGCTCCAGCAGACGCCCTCGGGCCTGACCGAGCGCCCTTCGGAGCTGCAGCAGGCCTCTGGCTCGCCCCGGGCCCTCAGCAGCAGCGAGGGGCCCCCTGGGGGGGCCCCGCAGCAGGAGGACTCTGGGGAGACAGCCCGGCCTGCGTCGCTGTCGCAGTCAGGGCCCCCGGGGCCCCGGGCATTCCGTGGGCAGCCCTCTGCTCGCTCGCGGGGGGGCCCCCCTAAGGAGGCTGAGGCCGCAGCCTCCAGGTCCCCCACAGCCGCCCGATCCCCACAAGATGCCACTTCGGAGAAAGATGCCCTATGGGGCCCCAGGGATACCCCGCAGGAGACGCGGGAGGGCACCACTGATGCTGCTGCTGCTTCCAAAGAAGACGGAGAAGCCACAGAGGAGCCCCCCGAGCCCAGAGCCGTTCGCTCGCTGCTCTCCGACGAAGACAGAAATGCAGAACGGCAGCCACGCGAGCCTCCAGAAAAGGCGGACACGAAATCCCTCACTGGGGTAGTGGCCATCTCGAAGCCGCCTTCGAAAGAAAGTTCTTTCCAAAGACTCCGAAAACGGCTGAGCCGCACCTTGTCACCCAAGGAGGAGCGCGCAGCTCCCAAATTGTCCAGTGGACTTGGAAGGACTCTGAGGTCCCAGAACTCCTGCGTGAAGTGCGAAGCCCTTGCGGAGGAAAGGGCGGCGCTGCGCGCAGAACTCAAGGCGGCCCAGGCCCGCTGCGAGCAACTCAATTTGGAGATCTTGCAAGTCACTGAAAAGAAGCGCCTGCTCATAGAGAAGGTAGGCCAGCCCCGAGGCCCAGCACTGTGGGGCCAAAGCTGAACACTTGCTGCAGAGGCTCCGCCCTTTCGGGGGAGTCAGTTGAGTGCGCCTGGAGCGGAGTGCGCTGGCTGCAGGTCCGGCAAGTTGTGCAGAGGGCTTCGCTGCGGGTTGACCAACTCCAAAGGAAATACGAATTGGCCATGAAAGAGGCGAGACACGTTCTGCGCATAATAACACACACTTCAATAGGAAACTGGCAGCCAAAGCACACCCCGCAGCCCGTAGAGGAGCGTAGTGTTTCACCAATGCAGCAGAACGAGAGGTCTAGACCAACCGGAGGAAACAGCAGAGAGGGGAAAGCGGAGCTGCAAGAGTAATTGGCGGGGCAATATTTGAAAGACCAGCTTTGTTTCTGTCTGCCGATTTCAGGTGGTAGACGACCACCTCAAGGCTGAGCGGGCTCGGCTGTTCTACCAGGGGCGGGTAAGTTCTTTATCAGCTCCCCTGCGTTGAGTGCGGGGAGCCACTGAGGCCTGAAGCTTTTCTTTGTTTGACCTGATGGGCTAAGTGAGTGGCAGCTGCGGGTTCATGCAGCCAAGTTGCGGACTGAGGCATTTGCGTATGTTTGGCTGCGCAGCGGAAAGGCCTGGAAATGCGCGTTGCTGCATTGGTGGACAAGGTCTTCGAAATGGAGAAGGCTGCACCAACGCTGTGAGGCCCCCACCCCTCACTTCTTGTTAGCAAACCACTGCAGTATTTGAGACCTCCTCTGCTGAGTTCACTACTGCCAAAGCTGTAGATATTCACGAAACCTAGTAAACGGAACTGGCTTCATGCTTTACACCCGTAGATGGAGGATATTTAGCTGCAAAGATTGCTTTTGTTCCCTAGTTTGTCGCCTCCCAGCTGCTGTGGCTCTCTCCCTCCCAAGCAGTTGCGGCCACTTCCCCGTGCACTTTGCAGCTGTGTGTGTAGCTGCGTGGGGGCTGCAGCAGCAGGTAACGCGCATTTATTTGCTGCTAGTGTCCGTGTCTTGCAGAAGCTGGCCCACCCGCCGGGCCCGTGTCCCGGCGGAGTCCTTCGTCTTTCCTCGCGGCGCAGAGGAGGCAGCAGAAGAGCACACACGCCGCGACACGCAGTTGATTCCGCCTTACGTCTTTGTCGAGCTTCCTGAATCCCCGGATGTGTCGGGAGATGAACAACCCTCAAGGCGACGGACAGTCTTGGTGCCTCTGCACTTGTTCGACGAAGAAGCAATGCAAAAGGCGGCGCAGCGCTCTGAGGCAGCTGCCACCAGGCGGCCCACAATTGCACTGCCGCGGTACGTATTTGACGAGGACGCCATGTTGAAGTCCCAGAAAAGGGCAGACACAGACGGGAGGAGGCAGACTGTGGCTGTGCCTGCTTACTTGTTTGACGAAGCTGCTGCTGAGAAGGCAAGACAGAGGAAAGTTGCTGCTGCATCCCCTCGGCGCCCCACAACTGTTCTGCCCGCCCACGTATTTGATGAAGAGGCTCTCCGCAAGGCCCAGGCCAGGGCGGAAAACACTGAAAGAAGACCTACCATGCCGGTCCCCGCATACCTGTTCAAAGAGCCCAAGGAGGAGAACCGCAGGCCCAGCACCTTCAATCTGCCCGCAGACCTTTTTGCGGAGGGCCAACAGGAGCCCTCCGCACCCCACACTTCGCCACCGGCTCAAGAGACTAGCCGCCAGTCCTCTTTCTTTCCTTATAGTTTGTTCAGCAGCCTCAGCAGGCAAAGCCGGGACCAGGAACAGAAGCAAGGAAGCGATGCTTCCGGCCCAGCGTCGCAAGGACCCTCGGTTCACGACTCGCAACATGAATCGCGCAGAGTCTCACCTGTGGAAGTCCCCGAGTCGGAGTCCGAAGAAGCGGCTGAGTCCCCAGAACCTCCTCAAGGGACTCGTGTCCGTCCTCTGTCTCAGCCTTCTTCCCGGCAGAGCAGCAGCTCCTCGCAAAGTGGTTCGCCCTCGGACGCCACAGCCAAAGAACTAGAGCAAGCGGCTCCGACCAAACAAGGTAAGCTGCCCGCGCTTTCTAGAAGCAGTGATGTCTTTGCCTCGCAGATATCGAGAGAGCCGCTGACTGTAACGTTGACCGCCTCTACTGCGTTATTTCCCGGGAAGCAAATAGTTTTTCCCGCGCTGTTTAGCAGCATTTGCCAAGAGTGCCTTTCGCACGCTTTCCTCATGTATTATGGCAGAAAGAAAGGGTGCCGATTCAGCAGCATAAATTAAGGGTGCTTGTTGTGTTGCTTGTGCGTACGTGTGCTTGTGTGCAACTGCGGGGTGCGTGCGTGCATGTGAATGTATTTGTGCGGTTGCTTTTGCTGTTTGCCAGGCGCTGGGGCACGTGGAGGGAAAACGCCGGTACAAAATGCGGAGTCATTTATAACGGCTCCTTGTTGCGGGCGGTCGACAGTAAAGAGCGATATTCGCCCATTCCGGCGTTGTGGCTGTCTCATTTGCCGGCAGTGTCTGCGCACAGCCTCGATGCAGTCGAAGGTGCACATCAATAACTTTGTAGGGTCGGATCCTTCCACCGGCTCCCCCATCTGGAAAGTCCGCTGCCCTACCTGCGGCAACGTGGCGCCCCTCACCGCCACCCAACTCCGCACAGCATCTATTAAACGTAGTGTCCCTTGAAGTTCTGCGAACACACCTTTCGCTGGCCAATTGATACCACAATGCGCCCCATATGTTGAGCCGCTACAATAGTGGCAGGGAGTACCGCGGCCCACGCATCAATACTGCAGTCTGTTGTAGGCTTCGGCCATTCACGAGAGTTATGCGTGTAAGCTTGTTGCTGCCGTTAAGTGCACTTTGCAGGGTCGGAGCCGGCAGTAGCGGGGCGTCTCCTGCGGCATTAACCGACCCTGTTGCTCAGCACCGTGTGCACTTTATATTTAGACGGACACAACAGGCCTGTCACTGCCGTGAGGGGCCTTTGAATAGATCTACTGGACAAACCAGTGGGCGGCTAAGTAGCAATAGCTGCCATCTATTAACAACGCCTAACGCTTTGCGCTTCTGCTGTCTGCACAGAAAGCAATATCTGCTTAAACTAGGCAGCAAGTTAGTGAAATCACTTCCAGCGATTCATAGTCAGTGATGGAATCAGGAAGCGAAGAATTAGCAGGACCAACCTTCAGAGCTAGGCAAACAGCCCTGTAGAGGTAGCCAGCACACGGCACTGCCTGCTGCGTCGGCATGGGAAACTAAATTTCCAATAAGGCTGCGGTCTAGAGACGGGTACATCCCCACTAATCGCTCAGCTACTCGCCGGAAGCCCAAAAGCTGAACTAACTTGTTCTAGGAAAATATTGGCATTCTATGTAGGTCACTGAACTGCATACGACGTAGCTTTCAAAATGGAACACAAAGTCTAGGACTCCCCGGTTCCGTAGCAGCTTTGGGTCTAAAACCCTCCTGACCTGCAGCCCCGCGAGTGTACAGTACCACTGGGCTTTTCAGATTCGGGTGCAGCTGTTTGCAGCAGCATCGGCCCAAGCTGTAATTCTCGACTTTCTCAGAAATACGAATCGTTATGGCAGTCTCGAAGGAGCCTGGGGCAGACATTTCGTGCGACTAACCGTGGAGATAGAGCTCAAACGGGCTTGCTTGCATTGCCCGGTGTTGCTGGTGCGGGCTAGCGAACAGCTGGTCGGCACGTAAAGCCGTGTCAACAGCTTGTTCGCTCTGACTCAGCTATAATTATAGAAACTGTTCCAAGTATATCTCGCAGTTCATGCCTGAGTTCCTAGTCTGAAGGAGTTACCTGCCAGGAGCAGCACGGGCGTGCAGACGTAACCCGAAAGCATTGGCGAGTGTGTGGGCGCAGTACTAAACAAGACAGGAGATGGGAAGCAGCCACTGTTGTACGTAGGATACCAGGCATGAAACACTTGTCTTGTTATTAATAATGAGTATAAGCGCCAGTAGTCTTAAAAGGATCTAGTTGAATTTGTCTGCAAGCTGATTCAGGCCCAGACGACCCTCCCCCCTCCCCCCTGTTCGCTGCCCCCCATTCAGTGGCTGCTCGCTGGTCTCGCCGCTGCGGGTGCGAAGCAGCAGCTGTTTCAGTCCACAACGTATAGCAAAAAGGTGAACTGTGATGCCACATAGGTTTGAGCTTTTGTTCTTTACTGCCACGTGGCCTCTTTTTTCAGTAGAGCTCCCCATACATCGTCATCCGCTACCCTGCCAGCGGCTGTCTTGGCTAGCCCTCGAAGCTCACAGATCGCAGGTACGTGGGGTGGGCATCTCTGCCTTCCTCTATGCTTTCGGATAAGTGTAATTGCAGTATATGGCACTGGTAATGCCAAGAGGCGAAGGAATTCGCTGCGGAAGCCTCAAATACGTAGCGAAACCAACCAGAGCCATCGAGACCGGCGGCTGGCTAGTACGGCAGACACGAGAGGCATCAGGGAAGCTACTGAAGCCTTATTTTTCTTGTTTTCTTGGATAATCCACCCAAAGGAAGGATTTAGAAACTTCAGAGCTGCTTGAGTTCGATCATAACGTTTTTTTCTTGCATCTGTCCCGACCCTAGGCGCCTGCCACCCGCCTGCCACTGCACCCGCCACCCCACTGCTGAACCGGCTGTGTCGTGGGTTACGGGGTTGTCGGACTTTAATGGGTTTCATTTGGACTCTCTTCAGTTTGAGCCAGTCTTATTTTTCTCTACATGAACCTCGTCAATTCATCCTCCCTATTTCTTTTTGCTTTCATCTGAGGGCGCCAGTGACTCGCCGTGGTAGCTAGAGGGCTTAGTCTGCTCCGGCGTACCTCTTCTCCCAGGTTTGCGGGGTTCTTCGTATTACCATCTGTCCTGTCTGAGCGGACCCTGTACTCCTCCTCCAGACATCTAGAGTTACCTGGAGTGCCCGACGAAGTGCTGGCGCTCAGTGACCTTGAGCCGCGTCGAAACCGATAGCCGTGAGGCGCACTGCGGAGACAGGCTCCACGCATCGATATTTTGTTTACATTTCGACGGAATAGTAGCGCAGTGAAGCCCGTGGAAGGCATTCAAAGTGGAGTCGACGCCGCAGCCGCTGCAGCTCACCAGACACAATGGCGTGCGCCTCCCTGCTTACGGATGACAATATACTGCGCTTCAGGACGAAAGCGTGCCTCCGTCTCTCCCAGGGCTCATGCAGCTTTGGGGACGAGTGAGCTTGGTCACCCTCTTCTCGATCCCGCCTCCAGATACTCTCAAGCCTCTACCGTGCTATTTCAGTAGCACCCTTGAACGCCTTGTTTTCGTTAGCTTTCGTCATTGTTGCTTCACAGAAATGTTTCCCAGTGCGTAGTGTGCTCCTTAAAAGCCTGAATCGGTGTTCATGATGCTGGGTCTTGCTGCAGCCGGTGCCAGTACTCGCACAGCCAAGTCTGGACACGTAGGTCGCCCTACTACGCCTCTCCTGGCCAGCGTCAGGAGCGCTCAGAGGTTAGCCAAAGAGAACCGTTGCTGCGCTACCTGCCGGTGCCCTGCGAGAACTTACAAATAGAAAACGGGAAGGTAGTGAAGGTCAAATGTCCCAGAGGTGTCAACTGCCCCTTTTCCCACTCACCGGAGGAAATTGTCTACCATCCCCTCGTATATAAGGTGCGTTCATCTAGGCCTCTTTGGACTGCTGTGTGCGCGATACACTGATTTGTTTAGCAGAGGAGTGGGGACTTGTGTGTGTCTGGCCCAGCCGGCTCGTGGTAAAGTGCTCTCTCCGCTTCCGGGTCGACGGGGTCGATGCAAGTATCCTAGACCTGCTTTCATTTAGCAGTTGAGTCCGCCTAGTCTCATTTTTGTTTTGTACCCAGACGGAGCCGTGTAAGGCATTTGCCCAGCGCTCGTGCCGAGTCTACTACTGCTGGAAGAGTCACGGCGAAAAGGAGCGGAGGCAGTCCGCGCGGCATTTCTCCCTCGGAGTTGTGAAGGGGCTAAACGGTAAGTTGCAAATGTTTGCACCCTTGTTTGATTGATCTGCAGTTGATGGCTAGGGCGGGAGTGGTGCAAAGTAGGAATTGGCCTGCAGTTGATGGCTTGGGCGGGAAAGATGCAAAGTAGGCAAGTACGTGGCTCTTTGTGTCAGGTGTAATGTGATTGTCTTCAGTACCGGTGAATTACCCTGGAGTAAGTCTAGTCGAACTGTTGCCCAACAAGAACGGAAGACGGCGAAGGCCGCGGTTGCCACCCGCAAGTCCTCCTGCAGTTTTGGAAAGCAGCGGAGGTTCAGTTGCTTCTATGGGCAACAGCGCTCATCATGAGAACGTAGGCCTACTACTACACGGTGTTGTGAGACACCTTGCTGAGTGCGCGCCAGCAGATGCTGCGTGGACTTCAGATTGCATGCCTAAAGCTGCTACGTTGCCTCCTCTACATTTTACCGATGATGCCATGGGCGCCTGGCCCCCTCTTAGCAGCTTGCTGAATCTTGTCGAGGGGAAAGTGGACCCTGAAGATGTCCGTCCTCCTCGAGGGTGTCCCACACAGCCTCAGGGGAAAGATACGAGGAATAACCTGAAAAGTGCAGCTAAGCATGCTGCCAAGAAGGAAGGACAGAATTTTCTTTTGCGCCAAGGAATACCAATTGAGGAGACTGTAGAAGAGCTCCCGCTGAGGAGGCAGACGGTGCTGGCGGGCAATGTAGACCCCATGGGTAGCCCTACTTTTGGAAGTCTGAAAGATCAGATTGACGCGAACAGCGTAGAAAGTTGGGGTTTACCTTCCTTAGGAGAGAAGCAGACAGATCCGATTGGAACATTTCCAACTCGGCCAAGTCTGCTACCTCTTCAGTATGCGAATCCATCGGGTTCGTCTTCGCCGCAAGCCAATCTCTTTACAGGCTGCGAAGAGTTTGTCCGGGGGGATGGTATGCAGCTAGGAGAGACTTTCGGTGACTGCAAGGCCGGTCCAATGCATGTGTGGCGCTCGAGCAATAATTTTTGGCTAGACGGCGGCATGCGCTTGCCAACTGACGATTCAGATGGGTTGGAGTGCTCCAGAGCTTCGTGGAGCACTCCTGGGAGCGCCCACAGGAGCATCTCAGCAAATGTGAGCTCTAGCGCACTTGCCACTTCAGGGTCGTTACTGAATGTGCATCGGCGCTTTTGTAAAGTTTGTGTGTGTGTGTGCGTTGCGGGGAACTCACTGCGCTGTACTGTGCTCTCCTTGATTTGTTGCTTGTCCGAAAGCAGATGACTATCGAAGACCTGAAAGCAGGAGCAGCTGAACAAGAAGGCAGTATGTACAGCCGCGGCACCGGCGGGGAGGCGGGGAGCTTGGCATCTACATGTTTTTCTCTGGACTTCACAGCAACAGGGAGTAACTGGTCGTGCACGAAACAAGATCTGGAGTGCGTCGCGCCGCGCCGCAAGGGGGCTGAGGATTCGCCGCTGCCCCATTTCAAAAGGGATGAAGACTCGCTGTGTCAGTGGCCCGCGGCCGGATGGACTGAGGAGAGCTGGTGTAAAATCGAAGAAATTCTTAAAGCAGGTGAAGAGGATGCAGTGTATCTGAAGGGCTTGCAGGACCTGACAAGTGGGAATGATTTGCTGCAAGACGTCGAAGACAACAAGCGGCTGATGTCATGTTTCGTTTCCCTTTTGAAACTTATACAGGAAAATGAATCGCCTGAGGCGGGGACTCGAAAGAGCTTCAAGGGCAACGATTGCGAGTCACCCACGGCGGAGTTCGGTGTGTTTGAGGCATCCCAACCGCCCGATGAAACAGCAGAGTCGAACTACCCCCACATGATGGCTCTTTGGAAAATGGCGAGGCTGGCTGCTTGAACGCAGAAATTGCACGAAATTGACTGGCGGTCTTCGCCGAGTTTTAATTTGTGGTGATACAGACACTGCACTCAGTCAGTGCTCTGGCCTTCGTATTACTGAGTTTGTGGGGTCCCGCGTTGCAGCACATGCAACGCAGGGGATTTCAGCGAGCTTGGGCTGATGCTCTGTCGCAAAGGAGCAGCAGATCTTGCCGGCCCAATATTTGGCGAACTGTGCAGGCGACGGTGGTTCGTGGGGTTGCGCAGCCCAATAAACACCTGTTTTATGTGTTTTATTTGGTAGTTGCAACAGGGTGGATTTGCGAAGGAGGGCTGGTTGAGACGATACTATGCTCATGTATCGCCTGACTGCCGGTGCTGTGGAGCACAGGCAATGGTCGTTTCAGCTGTCAGTGGCCATTCCAAAGGAATTCAGGAGCTGGCGGTAGGCAGATGCTCTGGCACCCAGCGTCGGCAGGCACGCCGGCATGAAGGTCCTCACGCTGCAGCCGTTTTTGTATAATGCAAGCCAATGCGCGAGTGCAAGGAGCGAAGGGTTACTTTGCTATCGTGTTTATCAATTGAAGAATTGCCGTGAAGACGTTAAGGCTCTTGGGTTTAAGGGTGTCATCACGCCTTACGGCGCGGATTTTTTATGCGCCTCCTGTCTAGGATCGGTGCGTTGCTTGCCTTTCCTCACTGCAGGAAAGAAATGCCAGTGGTTGATGAGGAATACAGTTGCATTCTGTGCTTGCAACCTTATTATGAGTTTGCAACAGAGTACTGCTTGGAAGCTGCGATGTTGCCGTTTCAGCAAGAAACGACTATTCATATTATGTGGTCCGCATGCTGCCTGTCCTGTACGACAAGCCATTGTATCACGTAGGCTGACAAATGACAACGTTCAGCAGCAGCGGGGAATGGCTCGGGGGACTTGTCGGCAGTATAGAGCGTTTCTATGTATTGCTCTCGGGGAAGTCATGTAACAATTACAGGTATGGAAAATAATGCTCGGAACGCACGTTCTGTATTTGTGTGGAGGAAGCAGATGAAGAGTTCCAGTGTGCGGGGCGAAGAATCAGCCTTCAGGTTTCACGCCCGGATGAACGAAGTCCGTATCGCAGAAGACTTTCCCATAATATGTACTCCTTATCCATGTTCCAGGATAATGAATTACCTTTTTCTTGCTATGTCGTCGTTTACGCATCTGGTGCTAAGTATTTTTGCTTTCCACCCTGGAGTTTCGTACAGAAGTGCTGTACTCCAGTCTTGTTGATGCAGGGGTTTGTGTGCTCCGCATCTCAAGGGGTTGTTCGCCGGAGCAACTTCCGCTTTGCCCCTTGTGCCAACTCTCAAAGTTAGGAGCAAAACATGCGTTTAATGTACGGCTCTTTACGCCTCCATAACACAGCAAATGCAGGGTGAAGTTCGTGGTTTCGACGATAGCGCATGGCCCATGGCGATGAGCTACGTTCAGTTGTGCATTTTTCATCCGTTAGGACGACCAGTTGATTTGTTCGTCGGAAGGACATGAACAAGATAGCACAGACAGCTGCTAGCTTTCCGAGCACTATTACAGTCACGTCGCCACAGAGAGTTCTGCTTTCGGGGAAGCAAATGGGCATCCTATGGAAAATTTTGCTGGATTCAGCCAGCAAAAGTGACTGCATATAGGACGTTGTAGATTAAGGTTCGAATTAGTGGTGGCATAGTAAAAGCTGAACGAAGACACCTTTGGTGGAGGGAGGCAACCAGGTAGGGGTCTTCGCTGTTGGTATAGTGAGGTTCCGGAGAGAAGGGAAGTTCATGGTTCTGTTTAGTGACACGTTAAGCAACGAATCCGCACGCACGAGGATGTCTGTCCGTTGGCGTAGGGAGACCAACTGTTGAAGGTACACTTTCGCTAGACAATTGCGGGAAGAACGAATTCTACAGCAGAACTGGAAACCGCAGACCAGGCCGTTAGAGTTTCCAAAGGGAGCAGCGAACAGCTCAACAAGCGCGCATAGATCCGACCTCCCATGCGAAATTATTTACGTAGATTATATTCCATATAAAGGCAACCTAAGGAGCTCATTCGACAGTGATTATCTTGACCGCACAGCTCGGATCTTTCAGCTAGTTAGTCACTAGCTGGAAGATCCTAGCAGGGAGCGCCTAGACCAGAGAAGAATAAATTTCCAGCAAATTTGGCTATTTTAGTTTTGATGAGATACAATCTCTACACAAGCCATTGCAGGAAGGAGGCATAATTCAGTTGGCGCTGCTTCGTGATCCCTTTCCCTGCATGCTGTGGTGGGAACCAAACAAGCGGTGGAGTCTGCCCCCAAAAATCTTCGCATGTCTGCGTACAGTCTGATAGGTGGACTTCGGGGAGAGCCATGGGCTTGGATGAATGGCTTTCTAGATCCGGGGTCACTTCTTGGGTCACCTCACCGCGACAGCCTTGCACTGTGGTGGACACGGCTCCACGACAAATAAAGTGCAGCCTCCCGTGTACTCTGATTTAATCTGAGCTATGAAGACGTCTTTCGTATTTTTGGACATTATTGTCTGTGTAGCTTTAATGGCGTCCCACTGAGTCTTGCGTTGCACTGCTGTCCTCACACCGATGGGCTCTTATCGATGCGTCGGCAAGTCGAGTTGGGGGTTTTATGTTTTACAGCGCCAGACAGAAAATGTAAGTAAACATGCAACTTATTTCATCCGCGAATCTGGTCGTTAGCAGTTGCACACGATCTGCCATCAACTAAAGCACAACGTGGGGCCTACGGGCGCCGCTGCTTCGCTTGGAGGGAGAGCATGCGTAGGCGTTAGCAGCGAAAAGGCAGATTGCCCTCGCAGATGCCCTTTGGCTTTCAGCTGAAAAAGGGATTAGTGGTGGTTCCGTAGTAAGAGCCTTCCAGTGGTCTAATTCCAGGCAGACACTGCCTACCAGCGCAGACGGCCTAAGCACTGCGTCGAGTTTGCTCCGCCATGGCATTGACCTGAAAAGAGGCAGCCAGAATGGCAAAAGAGGAGCACGCGACCTGTGTGCTTGGTGGAATGGCCCCAGTGTCATTTCCTATGACTCAGGGCAATGACGAGAACCTGGCAGCGGTTCAAGCCGCCATTGAACGAACCACAAGGAAGCTCGAGCTCGAGAAGCGGAGGCTCCACGATCTTGCTGGCGCCTCAGAGAAAGCTCAGGCCGAATACAACGAAAAAAGGGCCCGCTATCGCTTTAACAAGGCAGATGCTCGGAAGGAGTTTGAAAAGGCAGAGCAACGCCTACTACTGTTAGAAAACCGAGTTGCCCAGGAAACGTCTAAGCATAACATAGCCATAGCAGAGATTGCGGATCTTCGTACAGCTATTGACAAACATAGGAAAGATCGGTTGTCACTCGACCAAGTCCATCGGCATCTTTCGAAAGAAATTAAAGAAAAGGAAGGACAGCTCAATGCGCTGAAGCAAGAAACGGCGAAGCAGCAAAAAGAAGAAAAGCGGGCACTTTCTCACAAACAGCAACTATGCAAGCTGAGGGAAAAAGAGAGAGAAGAATTCAGAGAAGCCACTAAGCAGAAAGAGAAGCTGATTAAAGATCACGTAAGATTCGCGCTTCATCCCCTTGACAGTGTTTTGCTCGTTTACCTGCTAAGCCGCGAATGGAAGATACGGAAAGAACCAGTACGAGTAACGTTTTCGGATTTCAATTAGTGTGAGTGAAATAAGTTGGGTATATTAAGAACTAAGGACTTCTACAGTTGCATCGATTTGCGGGCTGCCGTTCCACTGCTCCAGGATAGAATGCTGAAGGAGCTTGAGGCGAAATCGGACAGAGACAATCAGCATATTCGAGCTCAAATCAAGTGCAATGCATTCACAGTGTCGGAGGAAGAACGGTTGACTGATCCCGAAATTTTAATGAAGAACATACTGAAAACCACTTTGCTGAACACTATGCAGAGGTTTGCCATCCGTCAGCACAGGAAGCAAGTGGATGTGTTCGAGAGGGCAATGGATATTATCAAGGAATCCACAGGAATATCGGGTGAGTGCATTTACTGACTGTCATCGCAGTCCACAGAATGTCGGATAAGTTCTTTGCTCAATTGTCGCGATGTGCAGCAGGATGAAAGTAAGAATTTTTGAGGGGGTTCAATGCTTTATGCACTCAACTGATGTCTTTGCCTTTTCTACAGACGCCGACGAAATTGTTCGTATCTTTACGCTGTTAGAAGAAAAAAATTATAGTGTTATAACGTATGTGAACACAATTAACCAAGAAATTAAAGAGATGGAGCACCGCAAAAACGCTATCCTCGATCGCATCCAAATGCACATCGAACACGGAAGCAAAGCCGAAAAAATCATTCAAGATTTGCTCAAGGATGTGACAGATCAAGTAGAAAGCATTACAAAACAAGCTGAGCTGAAGGAAGAAAGGATAGCTGCTCAGACACAGGGCCTAGATAAAGGCAAAGAACACTTGGTAGAATGCGTTCGGTGCATTGAAAACCACTGGGGTGAGATTTCCCCAAGAACTTCTATGGCAGACGACGTGGCCAGCCCTTCCATTGTAGATATGCTGCAGTACATCGAACAGTTTGTCGCATCAAAGCTCGCTGAAGTGCGCCAAAGTAACGTTTCCACGCGAGGTGACTGCCTGCGAAAAGGATCCGAACGCGCAAGCTCAACAGTGTCTTTGCCGCCACAAAGTAAGGACAATCAGGGACCTGCATGCTTTTCAAGACAGGGATCTTCATCAGAGCCAACAGCAAGCCCACGGACCCATACAAGTGGAATTCTGCGCCCCAAGGAGCCCTCTACAGCTCGATGTGACAGTGACTCCGATAATGTGGACAACTGCGACTGGCCCTTGACAGACAATGAGTTACGCACTCGGACAGCGCAATCGTTTTTAAAAAGAAGAAAACGAGAACAAAGGGACAGCGAAAATAGATCGCTACCTGGGCAAGGCGCAAATGCTTGCGCGACAGAAGCTCGTAAGGCAGGCGCTTGCTCTGCAAGTTGTTTACGTCTGCACGGATACTGCAGAGCGCAAGCTGAAATTTAGGTAGAAAATCAACGACTGCTCTCAGGAGTAGTTTATAATTAGTAGAACTGCTAGCCCTCGCCGCTTAGTGTGCGGAAATGAAATTCTGCGTTGAATTGTGCAGATGCTGCCACCAGCACCGCACGGCCGGTCTCAGGAACAGCACGATCAGAAGTTAGCCTTAATTTAGACACGGTGTATGAGGCCTCACCAGAAATGCAACTCTACCTGGGCCAGACTGAAAGGCAATTAAGCCCCAAGACGGGACTCATAACGAGTGTTCTCGCCAGAAACAACGGGCCTGTAAAGCTTGGTCGAGGTCGAGCAGCAACAATTGCCTGTCCCGGAAGATCCCCACAGTCCAGCCAACGCCAGAAGGAAGTCAGAATCACAGCTCGGATGAGATTGTCGAGCTCGTCGAATATGGGTCGGCAAGTGATAGCTCCACAAACACAGTCTGGCCCGCCTTCCCCATCTAACGCATCCACACCCGCCGCAGGTCCCCCTGAAACAGCAAGCCAAGAAACTGCCACGCGAGCGCAGGTACAGCGGGGACCTGGAGAGGAAGCAGTCCAAAGTGATAGCAATACTGAAACTTCGACAAATGAGTTTCAGGCTGTTGCCGTGGTAGGCTAACATTTCCGTCGTTGCTACACATGGCCAGCATTGCTTACAGAACATTTGGGCATTGAAGAACGCCAAGGTCGGGGCCGCACAACTTGGTGTATTTTCTGCAGGAATTGTATAATGAAAAAGAAACATCGGGAGAGGCGTTCCCTCTCTGTGCAGAGGCTGCTGCGCACCTTGACACAGGAAGTCTGCGACAGGTAGAAGAAGCTCTAGAAGCGGCGCTGGAAAATGGCGTGGACAACGACTCTCCAATTGATGCTGAAGAAAGCCACAAATCGGAGAGACAGGAGGCGGATATAGTTGGCCTGCCTGGTGAAGCAGCATTTCTTAATGGGGAGGGAAGTGAGATGTTGCAGGCGCAGAGAGGCAGTGACGGCTCGACGGAGAGTCCAGACAAAATAAAGAACATCACAGTCGATTCCTCAAAGTTGCCGTTGACCAATTCAAGTGAAGCACATGGCAAAGATGTCACTGAACATTCTCCAGTTGACCGACAGCAACCAGTACAGCAAGCGAGCATTCCAACTGCGGCGGGGGACCCTGCGTTGCCGTTACCGCTGGCAGTAGAGGGCGGCAACGGAGAAGGAGGCACTGCTATCCCATTTCCATGTGACGAATCGCAAGCTGCAGGTACAGAAAACAAAGAAGTACGCACGGGAATGCTTGCAGGTCTCAGCGCTGACAACCCTGCAAGTTTATCAGTTAAGGAAATCGCTGACACAGGAGGAGTAGAGGCTAAAGCTTCAGGCGAACCTGACGCTGAAGGCATTTGTTCACGAGCTTTCAAGACTTGCGTGGGTGACCGGCCCGATGCTGGTGAAAGCACTAGTAGCACAGCGAAGGAGCCGGATGTCGACAGGCTAAGCCATAGGGGTGAACTTGAGCTCGCCGCTTCTTGCAAAGACCCTAATCTTATACGCGAACCTTCAAACTCAGGCTCGATCATTACCCCGGAAGATTCCTTAAAAGCGGAGCCAGAGGCAACCTCTGACGGTTCGGTGCCCTTGCAAGTGCCGCCATCCACTTCGGATTGCCGCAGTAGACCGGGAGAAGCTTCCGACACAGCAGCTGTAGAAGGAATTGCCAGAACTGCTGCCATTGCAGCTGCTACAGCTATTGCTCTTGAGGCAGAGAGTCGTGCGCAAATGGCCAGGAATCAAAATTTAAAATCTAAAGATATGCCTGAAATGGCGTCTCTCTCATCCGATGAGCGGGATGTCGACTCCAGAGTTAATTTTGAAGCTGAAAGTTCTAAGGGGTCCTTTGGGACGCAAGACAGCATGCAGAAGCAATCCTCTGGAGGAAGCCACTCTGGCCAACGGAATCGCTGCCATTTCCGAGTTAGCTTTTGTGATGGGTGGCTGCCGGGGGAAGTGGAGGATGCGCCGCCCCAAACCAGCGAGGCCTTTAGAAGGGCGTCCATTGTGAGTATTACTGCTATTTCCCTTCGGTCTGTTGGCGTTGTTGCGCATTCTGTGTTATATTTCTAGTGCTGCACACCCCCCAGCTCCACGTATCATCCTTCCTGTGCAGGCAGAACGGCAAGGCACTGCATCGAAGGCCTGGCAGCGGCTGAGAGAAGCCGACATAGAATGGAATGAAAACGGAAACAGCTCTGACCCTGTAGCATCCCCAGAGCTTCCGCCGGGCTCTGGCGCACTTGATATAGCTGCGCCTGGTCTCCAAGGTCAGGCATTCGCAAGATCGGCAACAGTCACAGTAAGCTGTGCTGTCAGGTCTACAGACCCTAGCGTAAGCGATAAACCATGACTCATCAGCTGGTTCCTTCCCCGAATCAAGTCCTGATTAACCATATCTACGTGCATATGCAGCAGGGCGGCGTTGCTGACAGCAATGGCTATAATACGAGAGCAGAGAACAACAATGAGAAAGCTCCTGCAGGCGAAAATGCTGAGCAGCTTTTGGATGCCGGAAATGACACTGGGATTCGAAAGGGACCAACCAGCAGAGATAGCGAGAAGGAAGAAAAGACGAAGCAAATAACGGAAAGCAAAGAGAACGGGGCTACCCTTCATGCTACAGGGATCTCTCCAGATGAACTGGGAACAGCGGAGTCTACCAATATGCAGAAGTCATCCCGTAGCAGCACTCTGCAATTCCAAAACGCTGCACGGAACGACTTAGTGTCTCCTGTCTTTGACCTTGACGAAGCCGAATGGCAATCAGATTGCAATAGGGTCGGATCATCTGAAGTTGAAGCCACTGCATCAGCAGGCGCCGCTGCTGACGCAGCTGCGGACTTCGGACCTGCAAACTCTGTTGGCGCTACTGCTGGGGAAGCAATGGCTCGCTGTTCTGCTGAGGCACCATCAGCCTATACGGTTACTCAAGAGCCCGCTGAGGTCGTCGTTACGCTAGCAACTGCTGCAGGGGCTACAGACACTTTTGCATCCGGGGAAATTGCAGCAGATATCGCAACAGCAGAAGCCCTTGCAAAAGACGCTGATGCGGCAGAATCTATTTTCACTGGAACTGCTGGCGCAAACGCACCAGCTGCACGGGCAGCTGAAAAAAAAGAAGCTACATCATCCGAAGAAAAGGCTAAACGAGAAAGTACGAATAACCTCTCCTTGCCGACGACAACAACACATGTTGCGTCCATGCAAGAGCAAAGACAAGCCGAAGTCCATGCAGTAGCATTAGCAGAATCCGCAGCAGCAGCAACTGGAGTTATTGCCGACTCCAGCGCCACAGACGCCGTCCCAGATGCACCAGCTGCAGATGCAACAGCTGCAGGAACAGTTGCGGAGGAAGCAGCTGTTCAAGCACAAGGAGCAGCAGCAGAGGCAGTGGACGCCTTTGCAGGGCACGCCGTCGACGCAGCAGATGCAGGCGCTGTGGTGACGCCTGCTGCAGACGTCTACGGGTCCCTGCCAGAGGAAACACCTGCAGCAGAGGATGGAGTGGCGTTAGAGGAAGCAGCTGCAGCAGCAACTGTTGCTGGTTTCAACTCAAGTTTGTCGAAGTCAATTGGAGCGATTGGAGGCAGTGTTGAAGCAGAAATTTCTTTGGACAAGTCAGCCGGAGAGGAGTATGGAGCAGAACGTCGGAGGGTTCTGGCTGCAGGTGTAAGCTCGCTTCCGATAGATGACCTGTGCGCTGATGAAATGGCGGGAGATCATGAGGAGCCAGGGGAGACAGAAAGAGATGCAGCGGTATCCAGCATATCTTTTGAAGGCGCGCCAGCCGAAATATCAGATGTCCAAGTACCAGAAGCGGGTGCAGCAGACATAGAAGCGCTTCAAGCAGGCGCAGCCGTCGGGGGTCAAACATTACCAGACTCACATACAGCAGCAATAAAGGCAGCCCTGGATACACAACAGGCAGCTTCAACACCGCTGGGAGCACCACATCTAGCCTTACGAGCACCAAATGGAGGCCGTGACAACCCAGGAGAAAAAGAGGCAGATGGAAACGCACCAGAGACAGCACTAGGAGCAGCAGGCCTAGGACGAGCTGCAGCAGAGATGAGCGCTGCGGACGCAGGGGCGAACAGCGCGACAAGAGCAGACGCAGGCGGAGTCGCAGGCGCAGCTGAAGAGGCTGGCTCAACGGAAACAGGCGCAGAAGCACAAGAAGCAAAAACGGAAAAAGCCGACGCAGCACAAGAAACACAGGCAAATGTCCGTACACTCCAGAGGGATGGGGCGAGTGTGAGTAGCTTCTCTTTGATATTAGTGGGAGCTTTAACAGATATGAGGACGACGGCAGTGTTTCTGTTTGCTCATTCGCAAATAATGCTCCACAGGAACTTTAGGTCATTTTGACGAGTGAGAGAGTTTAGGTTTGTGTGAAAGTGCAGAATGAAGAGGATGAGAAGCCATGGCTGCAGCCACTAGAAAAAGAGGAACAAAACACAGCCGGCAGAACAGGCGAGCCCCCAAAAAGACTGCGTCAGAAGCCCCAGCTAACAAAATGCTCTTGAAGAGGGACACAGCAATACGAATCAGCAAAACCAGGAGCTACACCTTCGACCTTATACACTGCGTACAGTCCTCAGAAAGCCGTAGCTAGCGGTTAATGTACTCGTTGTAATTGGGCCAGCAGAGGGTGTCAGTGCTTTCACATATAACAGTCTCCTTAACCTATTAGTGGCCGCTGGGATGCGTGCGACATCTGCTGCAGGTGAAGTAGATAGCCAGAAAAGAATTACTGCTGTGGAAGGGACGAGTGCGTAAGGCGGCGCCATTCCCTCCCCTGTTAGGGCTTCTTTCTCCGTAGTAAAACTATCAGCCGGGTAACCAGCGAGACAGTTAGCTAGTTTCCCCTTCTGGATCCGTTGAGCCTCTGTCTCCCTGCCGACGGTGGGCTGCTGTTGTTGCCGTTTTGATGGTCACTGATCGCTCAGACAACCTTAAAAGTGAGGCGGCTCAACACCCTGACCCCTGCAAATCGGCTACAACGCTCCCAATTAGATGCGCATTTTCCTCCAGCAACCTCAAAGATCTGACAGGGAAGAGACTCAGACAAGATATCTCCAAGGAAGAAACTATGCATGCTGTGTGTGGAAACAATCTACAAAAGAACATTGACAGAAGCGCGACAGACTCATCGGACGGCAAGAAAACACAAAGCAGAATAGAGACAGCAGAAGGCCACATCCCCCAGAATAACAGCGAAATGCCTCCAAATCATTCGGAGAACGAGAGCGTCAGTAGTCCACAGCTGCAGGAAGCCTTGACTGATGGAACGGTTGGTTCGAAGGCGGCTGATGCTCTTCCTGGGCATGTAGCTTTGCTCTCTCCTGCTGTTGCCAAAGCAGATGAAAGAGAGAGTTTCGGATGTTCGTTTCCAGCAGCAGCAGAGACGGAAGCTTCACCGAAGGGTCAGATGGAGACAGAGGGAGCACTGGATGCCAGATTTGTAGGTGCTCACGATGTTCGCCTTGAGCTATCAAAAGGAAGTTCGCCCGTCGCGAAGCGGCTTCCTCAATCACCATCACGTGGGCTCCCAAGCGACCTTGAAGACCCAGCAGAAATGAGGTCACCTTCGCGGGAAGCAGCAGACCGAGATATGCAGGAAGACACGGAGATGGATCCTTATAGTATATCGACCCAGCGAGGAGACGAGAATAAAGGAACAAGTAAGAGCTCTACTAGTGCTTCGGGACTGAATGCCACAGATCCAAGTGCAGCGACGCCTGCAGACCCTCGGAAGTCCCGAACTGACAGCAGCACAGAAGAACTATTCCCCGGAAGTCAGGACTTCCAGAAGGAGGAAACGCTAAAAGGCGAACGCTCTAGAGATGACGGAGACAAACAAGAAAAAGGGGACAGTTGGCAGCCTCTCGGAGGGGGCTGTGCCTCGTCCGCTACACCCGTACAGACTTCCCAAGTAGCAGCGACTGTGAGCCTAGGGGCAAATTCCGGAGAAAAAGAGACGCTCCAGCCTGAATATTGTGAAGGCCAGTCTTCCATAAGCTTTGCAACGGGCAAAGGTCCCATCAAGGCCGTGCCCCACGATAGCACGGGACAAGTTAAAGAATCATATTCCTTTGCAGAGGCTACCAATGGCCCTCCTGCTAGGCTGCTGAGCACTGAAAGTCACACTACAGTCCAAAAGGTTCTAGTGGCCTCCGAGACTGAGACTCATAAGGTTTTTGATGCATCTAAAGTCCTCAAGTCGCCTCAGGCTCCTGGAAGGTCTTCCAAAGTTCATGAGGTTCCCCAAACATTTACAGATGTTGAGAAAGTTGAGGCCGCTGAGGCCCGTGAGGCTCACAAGGTCTTCGAGGCCCCGGAGGTAAATGTCACTAGTTCTGCAAACGCTTCTCAGGCTTCCAAAACATTTGAGGTCCTTAGGGCCCCAAAGATCCTCGAAGACGTCAAACGCTATGAGGACGCCATTGCCCCAGAGATTCAGAGAGATCCACATATCTCTAACGTCCCTACAGTCCATGGCGATTTGCTACCTAGACAAAACAGCGCAGCATCGAGTGGTGATGAGCCTGAAGCACTCTGTAAACCTGTGGAAGCCAAAGTCTTGAGAGTCGTACAAACGGGAGAGGCAGCCGAAGAGGCGGCGACCAAACCCCACCCAAAAATACTTGCAGCAACGGGAGCCGGGGAATCCAACTCCCTTGCGAATTGCGGAGATCTAGCTGATCGTGAGTCCGAATTATTGTCCGGTGGTCAAGGCATTGACCTTCCGACCTCTCGAGACAACCGTAAGGTCATCGATGCAGTGTCCACATTCCCGCTTGACGTCCGTCTGGAGCTGCAGGAGCCCCTGAAAGGTAACACGCACAATTCTATCAAGGTGCTGAGTAAAGACAGAGAAGGCAGCGCGCCTGGTCCGGAAACTGCTGAAGAACTTCCAGGAAACTTCCACTTCCCTGAAGAAGCCACCGCCACCGCAATATCAGCAGATCACAGCCAAATGCATGCCCCTGCAAAGTCTGCAGCAGCTGCCACCGTCGTTACAGCAGCAGCAGACACATCAGGTAAACGTGCAGCATTACCTACTCCGGCAACCGCAGCGCCGACGCAGCCAGAGCAGGAAGCGCACTCTGTTTCCAGTGCAAAGGGAGCCCTAGTGTCAAGCAGCGAGGCAGAGCCACTTACTTCTGTTGGATCTCAAGGTGGAACGACGCTGTGTAAGAGTAAGGAAAGCTTTGCAGCCTTCGCCGATCCTCCACCAAGCTCTAACCTAGCCCTGAAGAGATTCCAAGCTGCTCGTGAGCGTCAGGACGTCGCATGTGCAGGATGCGTGGCAGACGCGGAAAAGGCAGTATTCGCAGTCTCTGGAGACCCTGCTGCTCCCCTTATTCCTGTCGCAGAACCTCTCGCCGCTGGTTCCGCCAACACTGTAAGCAATGCGCCGGCAGAAGAGACAGCTGCAGATCCCCCACAGCCTCTCGATAGCCCAGAAGACAACCGTCTTGCAGTGCCGCTGGATCCGCTGAGCATTTTGAGCGGAACAGGGGAGAAGAATCAACGCGAGAACTTTCATTTGTTTCCAAACCAGGAGCTCGCCATAAGCTCACCCACTCTCGCAACCCCGTGTACGGCCTTGCAAAACCTACCAGAGGGTGCACAGCCTGCTGCTGAGTTTGTCGCCTGCATGAACAATGCAGAGAAGTCCTTTAGAGCGGTTGAACAGGGAGTTGCAGAGCTTCAGGCGCCACCAGCAAGTCAACGTGCATCCTCAGTTGCGCCTACTGAAGGGAAAGGGCGTGATCCGTCGTTTGGCACCACAAATACTTTGCAGGAACAGATAGTGCTAGGATCAGCGTCTGCGGCGCTCCGCAGCGGCGGTCCCTCGGAAAACGAAGAGGAAGAAAAGAAGCCTCGAGGGGTAAAAGAGTTCTTGGGGGCCACAACACTTCCAAGGACACACATTCAGGCAGAAACCAAGCTACCATGTAATGGCATCTCGAAAGCTCAAACAGAGGACCTCCCAGGGGAAACTACGCAGAATTCGTGTGCAGTGAAGGAGGACGCGAATGCAGTTGCAAGAACTGTTCAGCCTTTTGCGTCAGAAGAACTAAAGAATTCACTGGGAAGCAATGACAGGGCCAACAACGCCGAAAATGACAACAGCACAAATGCAGCCGTTCGCAACAACAGCAACACAGAATGCAGAAGCAGTGCCAAAGCAAGCAGCAGCAGCACCATGGAAGGACGTGAGCGGAACGCTCAAAGCACTACAGAGAGCGGAACAGTTGGCCCAAAGGAGAACTCAAGGGGCAGCTTCCCCTCTTTGAGCTCGGGCTGCTCTGTAAGGGTATCGAAGACTCCGTTGCCACCTGGCCAGAGCAGCTGGCGCATGCAGATTGTGGGGCATAGTTTAGGGATGGTCCCACCTGCTACTAACCGCTTTTCCGGGGCATTGGACTCGGTCGCAGCCAAGAAACTTTCAGAGGAGCAAATGGAGGAGCCCCTTGTCATAGAAAACGTAGTTGTAAAGCACGCCCCCATCACCGCGCCTCTTCCCTACAGGAAAACCCCAGAATCTTCCCTTAGGACATCCTCGCGCCCGTTCTCTCCAGTTACAGAGGTCTCTAAGCTCCAGGAGGCGCTGCAGGGAGGCGCTGCGGCGCCATTAACCAAGCTTCCTTCCAGCCATGTATCTGATGGGCAGCCGGCAGTGGCATCATCAGCAGCAAATGCTCCAGCGCCAGCAACAGGAGAGGGAGCAGGAAGAGTACAACAAACAACAGCATCCAACTCAGCGGCTGAGCTCCGTACAGATGGTGTCAGGCCTCCAGTCAAGTCATTCCAGTCTAGTGGGGGATTGCCTCCTAGAACAACCCCTTCCAACATTTCCCGGAACCCCTCGTTGTTCTCCCCAGGTGCCGCTGGAGTCTCTCGGCCGGCATCCGCTGTGTTGCCAATGTTGCGTGGGCCTTCTGGTGCTTCAGTTTATGGTCCTGCATCAGGTGCCCCCAGCATGATGCCGATCTGTGAAAAAGCAGGAGACTCCTCACCAGTGAGAACCCTTTTGCCCCTTGGTTTGCCTCTTTCCCCTGTCCCTGCAATTCCGCGATATATTTCTAGAAGAAATAGTCAAGATCCGCTCTCTACACAGTCACCAACAGCCTCTTCGAATCGAGAGTCCCGAACATTAACATCTCTGCCTTCTTGCCCAAACACTTCTACAAGCTTAGAAGCAGCCACGCAATTGCCTTCAAGTTACTCAAACCCCGTAGCCGCCCCTGGTGGATCTAAACTAATCAACCATGCATCTCCCGTCGTCACATCCCCGACGTATAGGAGTGGAAGCCCAGTCATGCCATTCAGGTCCCCACCCTCAGCCGCATCTGGGGACGCACAGAGACCTACTACACTGGAGCATGTAAACCACTTAAGACAGACAGTGGACTCACCAGAAGATGAGGCAGCAAAAGTTGCTGCTGCAGCGACTTCCCCCATGTCCAACTCGAGGTTGCCTCTGCCTGTTGGTCTCCTTTCAAGTTCTGTCACTGCAAACACGGAAGGCAGCCAGCAACCCGTGAGGCTCGCAGTCCCACGTAAGGCCCCAGGCTCCCACGGTCATGGGAACTTGCTTGTATCGACAAACCCACGGACGCCTAATGCTAGCGAAGGCAGCGTAGATCAACGGGGTGACATACCAAGCCTCTCCTCCCCCGCCTCGCTGCTGCCAACGGATAGACCTCCTCTTGTCAAGTGGCCCCTAATGGCCTCTCCAAAAGCAGAGCCTGCAACGTCACCAGCAAAACCAACAGCGCCAGCAGCACCTAATCCAATATTACTTGTAACAGCACCGGTACCAGCAGCAGCAGCAGCAACAGCACCGGCTCGCGCAGTACCAGGAGCCCCAGTCGAGCCAGCAAAAATAGCACCGCCGCCACCTGCAGGAGCAGCAACTGCGCCGCTACTGGCGCGGCCAGCGCCAGCAGCCCCATTTCTAATATTGCCAGCAACAGCGGCACCGGCGACAGCAGCAACAGTAAAAGTGGCGCCGGCACCGGTAGCAACGACAGTAGTAGCAGCATCGGCACAGGCAGCAGGCGCAGCATCGGCACCAACAGTATCAACATCAGCATTGGCAGAATTATCTGCGTTAACAGTACGAGCGCTAGGGACAAAAGCATCAGCACCAGCACCAGCAGCACGAGCACCAGAGACAAAAGCAGTAACAGCAGTACCAGCAACACCAACAACAGCAGCACGAGCAACAGCAGGTGCAACAGCAATAACGACAGCGGCACCAGTAGCGGCGCCATTAGCACCACCAACACACGATAACGCAACCGTTTTAAACCATCCCAATGTTGCTAGAGGGCCCCTGCGCTCCACCCAGTGGCTGCCCGCACCTGCCTTCAGCAGACCCTCAACTCCGAGCTTCTCCACCAGCTCCTTGGCTGTATCGATTTATCCCTCATCAGAAAGGGAGTCGCCTCTACCCTGGAGGGCCCCAGGGCCATGTGCCAGCCACGGTCCTACTCCGTCTGCCCAGCCTTCAGATGTCTCTGTCTGTTCTGTCCCGTTCACGAGACATCCACCGCCGCCTCGACCTCCAGGGGCACCACTGGTGATGCTGCCTGCCAGAGGGCCCTCAGCTTTTGTCCCCGTGCCGGGGAGGCAGCCGGTAAGCGCTCAACAGACGCTGACAAGTGGAGCTATTGAGTGTGTTGCTTCTATTCCCGCCGCCGGCGTCGTCAACCCAGCTCTTGCGCTGCCAAGCCAGACTGCTGCAGTTTCTGCAAATCCCAGCATGATGAGGAGTCTAAGCGGCCGCCCCTTTGGTGCACTAAGAGGGCCATTTCGGCCGACTTTTTCCCCTCCCATTCCATCCTTAATTCGCCCTGTTGAAGGGGTTGCTGAGGCACCGCGGCCAGCACTACAGCAGCCTTCCACTTCACAAGGGCAGCAGTTGGAGGGGGCGTTGAGGATGCCGACGCTGCGAGCCCAAACTTCGCTTACTTCCTTGGCACCTGTAGGTGTGCCGGGGAGCTCAGCTGCGACTTTGCAACAGTTTATGGGACCTCATAGCAAGGGAGGAGGTTCCTCATCTCCCACTGCTGCGCAGAATAGCCCACAAATCAGGAGGTCCCCTGCACAGGCAAATACAAAGGAGACAGAAGCCTTCAAAGGAAATAGTTAAGTGCCCACAGCCGCTCCCACGGCCTGCTGAGGGGCCTAGGTTTCTGGCGGATGGTCAGTTCAACCCACCCAGTACTTTCTCCGCCGCAATCGCGAAGCCTGTGTTTACTTCAGTGCTGACCAGTGGGCTCCCCCGAGCACCTGCGTCTGGGCACCCCAATCTCCCATCAACAGCTGCCCCTCATGCCACTTCCGCTTCAGCTACAAAAGCGGCACAGCTACTACCATCTTCATTGTCCGCAGGCGCGGAGATGCTAGCAGGGCCTGCACGGGTCCCACTAAAGCTTCCCACTCCACCACCTCCCCCTCCAATAGTCCCTACAATGCAGAAAGTGGAACAACAGCACCCATTATGGGGGCCTTCTAATGCGGCAGCGTCTCCAGGCCAAGTGTTCACGCTGGCCGCCATGGGTTTCAGCAGGCCTCCCACCGTACTGCCTGATGAAGAGTCCCCTACGACCAATCCTGTGACTCGAGTGGATAGCTCGACGGTGGCGGCCAGGAGCCAAAAAATTGACGACCTGGCAAAGTGATTAGCATGAGCTTTTATCCTGAGCCTGTAGCATTGTGCCTTCTACATGCCCATGTGTAGGCAGCTAGCAGCAAACGAGCTGCCACTGTTGCTGCACCTGCTGAAACCCAGCTTGTAACATCCCCACAGGTCCTGAGTTGGTGCAGTGAATACGGGGCTGACATGCCAGAGCTTGCCCCTTCACATTCATCCATTCATGGGTGCTTCTGCAGAGCACTAGAATACAGATACTTAAAGCATTAGCTGTCCCGGGCCTTCAAGAGGGCCACCGAACGGTGACGCACACCCTGACATCTCTGTGAAAATGAGATGAGGGAAACCTATCAACTTCGAGCAAATGAGCTTTGAGCAAGCCCCCTTTATAATCCGTGGTTTTGTGTCGTGATCTCACTATGTTTGTATGTCTACTTTTTGAAGACAGGACTGGCTGCTGCCGCAAGCAGACAAACTAAAGACGGCTCACAACTCCCTTCAGACGAAACTGCTGTCAATCTGAAGGCAAATCATCCTCAGTCTCTCGTTGAGTTAAACATGGCACAAGAGACTGCACTACGACGGCCGCAAATTACGCCAATTGCAAATCCGTGCGTATGCGCTTACGGTGCATGTCTCCCACACTACCCATGCAAACTACGCTTGAAAGCCCGTCCCTGCTCTGGCATCATCCGAGGCGCCTTCGCCAAATTCGTTGCTCAACATGTGTTGCGTTGCTGACCGAAAAAAGTATCTGTAGCAGCACGCCTATCTAAAAGGTAGCTCTAACTGGGTATCTCACCACCTACGACTACAGAAACAACCCAAGAGAGCAAGTGCACAAATGCGTCGACAAATATGGCCTACATTACGCTGTAACAGTAAAAACCGAAAATTTGTACAATATATTGGAAATCGTACACGCATGCTCAAGATGAGTGCAGACACCTCACAGGAAGCGCATCGCAAGTCAAATGTAGAGGAGATCTGTGCTAGCAGACCCTATAATAACGACCAACCAGCTTTCTCCCTGTTTTACCTATGTGACAACATGGCCACAGGCTCAAACAAGCCAGCAAGCAAAGATGAGCATGCGGAGCGGCACGTCAAAAGGTGCTGCAGGTGCTGCTCCCTAAACCACCCAGAAATACGCCATCCGAGCGGTGTTGCTGCGCCATGATGCAGCAGTGTATGGGCAAGTAAAACGAAGCCTTCACTGTTTGTTTACTGTTCTTCGCATGTCTCAGTAGTAGCCTTGGCAAACAATGGCTCTTGTTGTGCGGCCGCCAGCTGCAGTGAGGTTGCGGTTTGCAAGCGGCCTATGAATGCTTCATCTTCTTTCATTTTGGCAATTGTGTCCTTCGTGTGTTGTGCGATTTCTGCGTGGTATTTATCCTCCGCTATCCAGTACTTCTGATGGTCGTAAACGACACCGCAAGACCCACCGAGACTTTCCTCGAGAAACTCCGCTGGAATATGCTCCATGAGCTTCGCCAGCTGTTTCTTGTTTGAAGTCTGAATGAATTCAACCTTGCTGGCCGTGAGAGGGTGCAGCATGACTTTAACAAATTTCCAGACAGCATCAAAGTAACTTGGAGCGTCCAACATGTACGCCTTCGCAAGAATGTCAGTGTAGTGGTCGTTTAAGATGTTGACTACTTCCTTGCTGAGGTCCATTGAAGGCACCTGCGTTATGCTGAAACCTGTGAAGTCCACAAGAAACACTAACTGGTCTCTCCCCTTAGCCTTGTTGATCGATTGTATGGCCTTTTCCATCGTGTACAGCGTGTATTCTTGCGCAGCTTTCGTCGACTGAGCAGGCTCCCGACCCGGCCTGTAGCAACGAAAAAAAACGAACCGTATGACCTAAGCTGGAAGTTGATACACACATCAAAAATAACACCCCGGCAACTATGTTGTGGCGAACTGTCCGCTAAACTCCACTGCGCAACGGAGCTCATCAGTAAAAACCGTTCGCCAAATGCAGCCAAGCAAAAACTGGGAATCAAGCTCCGAGCCAAAAAGCTCTGTTGTGAGCCCTAAATACGTGAGCTGGTATAAGCCAATGGGTCAACCCTACACCGTAAAGACAGCTCTCACTTGAAGTAGACAATGGGATGGCCATGGATGTCAAAACCCTTCCTATAAACACTGCCCCTGGCTGCAGTGGCCTTGACGTCGTCAGGGTGTATGCAATGTGGCTTTCTGTTTCTCCTCCACGCTATCGTCTGCATGAGCTGCTGCTGGGCCTGGTTTTGATCCCATGAATAGCTTCTTAGATAGCGCCAAAGCACCAAGTCGTTTGCAAGCCATAGCACCTCTTCCCACGTAAGCTCGCGCACTTCCTTCTTCGTGACGTTACTAGAGCTCCTGCTGAACAGACCAGACAGCCATCCTTTTTCCTTCGCCGCGGGAGCCTCCTCTGGTATCTCTTCAACGATGGGCAAGGCATCTACGAGGGCCCTCAGCGCACGCACTTTGGCAAGCTGTGCGTCAGTGAGGTTGAGGCCGTCAACGAACTCTAAAGGTGGAGAGGGGGCTAGGAATGGAGGGGGCCCTGTGTTAGCGCACACGTTCTTCGGAAGAGCTGGCGAGCTGCAAGAAGTCGCCATATCGCTGTCTGAAGCAGCCTTAGAAACCGCACCGCAGGCCGGTGTGTTCGCTGCGGATCCGACGAAGGCCTCTCCCTCTACGAGAGCCATTGTTAGCGTTTAGGGACTTCCAAATTCAAAGGAAGGTCGCGACAAAAGACTGTGCAGGGACGAAACTTCGGTTCCAGCTCGAGGATGTCACTGCTGGCGACAGCGTCGACTCAATCAACGCAGCGCCCATACGCTATTGTAGTAGTTTTGAGTCGCTTAACCCGAAGTTATACCAATTTCTATATCTGATAACCTTGAATGGGGGAAATGAGTGAAGATATGACAAAAAGCGTGCGACAGCTTCAGGTAGTAATAGGACAACACAACGCACAGAAAGTCAGCGACACAAGGCGACACTTGCCAGAGATGGGTACATAAGTGCTCAGAAAGGTAACAAAAACCACCGGCGTGAAGCTTAACGGGAAAAGAAGAGAGTGAATTGTAGCAACAGCTGACTCTCGTCAGCTCGCCTGACTACAATCTGTTGAGTGGCTCTGTGGCTCACAGAGGTGACGGCAGCAACCGACAAGCCGTAGAAAGATATATGCGGCACAAGTTAAAGGCCTGTTCCAGTTTAATACTAACTATGACTAAGCCATAATATATTCCAAATTCAGAGACGTTTTTTTTCTACTTTTACACTTCACAGGCCAATCGCAACTACGGCCCCACCGTGCGGGACTGCCGCATGCGCTCTCCCTATGCTTAAACACTACAGAAAGAAGGATTTCCTGGCGTTTACTGCATGGGAGCCCAAGGATTGCAACACTAACGGCTGTGGGGAGCCAGTGAGTGCCGGTGAACGTGCCGCTGTGCAGGAAGCTTTTGAAGGGACCGCACAGTCACGTTGTCGCGGCCATATCCGATGGGGATGGGCGTACAAACAAACTGTCAGCAGTCATAACAATGGAACGTCTGCTGATGCTTTGCGATGCCGCGCGGGAAGGTGGCCAAACAGTAGAGTCCTTAATCGCCCTCAGCATTTGCACCATTACCAAGAAAGTTGAGCCAGCGGGCCGCAGTTTTTTTGACAAATATGAAAAGCGCACACCCTCAAAGCATCGGCGCAAGCAGGACGCAAGTAAGCCTACGTGTGGTGGTGGTATATTTCCGTTCTTACCCTTTCTAAACTATATATGCAGCTGAGAACTCGAACCTATGCCGGCCGCTGGTGCTGCAGGCCCCACCCCTCCCCCAGAAGAAGATGAGGAGTACAATGAGCGTACGGAGAAGTGGAGGGCTAAAAGCAAGAATAAGAGTCCAGGGGGTAGGGCAGTAGCTCTAGTAGCGGCCGCAGCAGCGATGTTCCCTCAAGTGTCTTGTCTCGCATACACGCATGCTATGTGCAAGTTCGCCGCTGTACAGCTCGACTATCATGAGCATATCGATTTGTATCGTCTTTAGGCGGTGGCGGAGGCAGCAGCTCATCGTGGGCCTCGGGCACCCATTTGAAACGAATCCTGGCCTACAACCAGACTCTTTACCAGATTTTAGGTGTTGAAGATGGGGCTAGTTTAGACGAAATAAAGAAGCAGTATCGCAAGAAGGTTCTCGAATACCATCCGGATAAGGCAAAAAGCACGGCCACGAGCCCCTCAGGGGAGACTACTACGGCGACACCGACCTCTGCAGCTGCAGAGGGACTTCCTTCCTCAGAGCATGAGGCTTTCCTAAAAGTCCAGGAGGCATATGAGGCACTTAGCGGTAGGACGTCTAACTGCGGTTGATAGTGTTGGCCTCCCCCACCACTGCTTTCCTCTCCTCTTCAGTTTCCCCATCTTGCCCGGCTCCCCTTTCATATTTGTGCATAAGCTGGTTTTCTTCGTTAGCTCAGGTAGGTCCGTGAGCCTCTTCTTCTTCGATTTATGCACATGATCTGCGCGATGCTTTTGCGGTGTGCTGCAGACAGTAATTTTAGGAAGCAATATGACTCTTCACTACCGTTTGATGAGAGCATACCAGATGCAGCTGAGTGCGAGGATGGTGCAAAATTCTATGAAACCTTTGGAGCAGCTTTCCACCGCAACGCTAGGTGAGCAGACGCCCCAGCAGAAAGTGCCTCATTGGGTTCGATGAAATGTTAGAGCATCACACTCAGACTGCACCCTAAGCATTGAACAAGCCGAGATGCACAGAAACATAGCAACAGAGGACCACTGCGCCGTTGTAGTTGGAGTGGCTGATTCTTACCTGTTCAGAAGTTTGCAGTGTAAATGACACTGTGGCGCCTGCAGTAGAGGAGCCACAGCTTAATGTCCTGGAAAATGAAGGCTTTGCACCTAAGTAGTGATTTTTGGGCTGTCACTGCAGATGGTCGATTAGGAGGCCTGTGCCCTCTTTGGGCAATGACTCGACACCGATGAGAGAAGTTGAAAGATTTTACGAC